CTTCTCTAATGAGTGAGTCTTTGGTCCATGCTCGAAGTTGAGTAATGGCCATACTTACTGTGTATACTGTATAACATGTCTAGGCAACCTAGAGATATTCTCACATCCTCCATCACATTGAGAAATTCAATGGCTGCATCTTCTTCCCAATTGAACAGGAGTTCTCCACCATATAAGGTTCCATCGTCATTAATTGTTGCCCATTGAGTGGCATTTTAAACGCATGGTATCGACACATGTAAAGGTGATGTCGACATGCTCCGGTTTTTACTGGTTTTGCAGTTTCCATAATGGTAAATTTATATCAGGTACTTAATCTTTTTCTTTATGAACACTTTGATCCTAGAATGTTTATTTTTTTATTGCTTTATATCATAGTTTTTATTATCTTATATAGTCCTTAAACCTTTAAAATATTGTAACTTAAGTCCTAAAACTTAATTTATTTGTATTTAAATCCTTTTAAGAAAAATCCCGATTTTCCTATTGTCATACCCAATTGTCCCCCTCCCTTTTGATACTTTTGCCAAAGAAATCTCAATTTTAATCATGCATGTAAGTTATTAAGTATATTATTTAAAGTACATTATTTGTTGTGAGTTTATGTGGGTCACATTATAGGTTTGTGATGAGATTTAGTAATGAATTTTATCATTAAAAGTTTATATTCTATTTGTGATTAATTTTTAGTGACAAACTATCTCTTTAACAATGAAATTTTTTTATCATCATTGAACGTGTGTGTATTCGTGACTAGAATTTAAAATCTATCAAAATTATGATGAGTTATAATGATGATTTTAATTATTATAAGTATGTATTCTCTCTATGACATTTTTTCAGTGACAAAATATATTTTAATGATGAATTTTTTGATTATCATTAAATATATAGATATATGTGACCAATATTTAAAATCTATCTTAATTTAAGATGAGTTGTAGTGATAATTTTGATCATTACAAGCTTTCTTTTTGTGCATCTATAAATAATTTTAAAATCTATCACAATTATAATAAGTTATGATAATAATTCAAAATTTATCATAAATTTTTATTACTAAAAATGCATTTCTTGTAGTGATAAAAGATACAATCCAAAAAAATTATTAGCAAGGCAATCCTCCCTACACCAATTATCGCACTAAAAACTCACATTTTTTCCTTCACCTATCTTTATCTGAAACCCCTTCGCCAGCCACCCTGCACTCTTCCCTTCCACCATATTGAGACAACACCCATCCCTCCACCATAATAAACCTACTCTACTACCCTCTCCCACCCAATTAAGCCAATCACCACCAACCCCACCATATTTTCCACTATAACTTTTTCCTCCACAATCCCTCTTCATTTGATGCTAACAGCCCCCGCAGGTCCTTTCCCAATTCTAAAACCGTCACTTTCCTTTTGTCTTTTTTAGGGAGATCGAGTCAAAGTAAAGCAAAAAAGACTACCCTTCGCGCGAAAGTCCCTTTTTTTTATAATAATTTTCGTAGCTTGTCAAGTAATTTTTTCTTATCACTAATGTCATATTTTTTATAATAAAATATTAAAAAACTTATAATCACATTATTTTATAATAATTTTAAATACAACTTAAAGGTAATAATATCTTGTAATGGGACATATCTCAAATCCTAACTTCAACAATATTGAGTTTTTTTATGGATATAAGTACAACATGTAATATCACTTAACCGATTAGTATATCACAAGTTTATGACATAAACCAGCATGAAGCTACACTAAACCCATAAAAAGCAAAGCTTCTAACCTAGGAACTCTGTCAAAGCTTTTAATATACTCAACAATAGCGACTTAACACCTTTGATATTATTGTCCATTTAAGTCTCTTAACAAGAATCCCACATGGCACCTCATCTTTAACCACTTTTAAAAGATTCTTCATTCCTTATAAGAGTCCTACAAGAGACTTACCAAAAGTGACACTTATCATTTTCAGAAAAGTGGATATCAACTTATATTACAAAAGATTAAATAAAAATATTTTAAAATCGTATCATTTTAATTAAGTTTTATAAAAATACTAAAATATCATAACTTTTAAAACAAAAATGAAGTTGTTTTAATTTTTTTCACGAGTGTTTTATTGAAACAACGTAGTTTAAAAATTTTTTATTTAATTTTTTATAATACATGATAATACTCATTAATTTCTACTATTTTATTCAACTTATATTCTCAAAGGAATTTTCGGACCTATACCTCAGAGCATAGGTTAAGATTTATTAAATATAATATTTTTAATTAATTTTGCATAAAATTTTATGTCAAATTCAATTAAAATAAAATATAAAATGTAAAATTAAAATATAATATAATATTTATACTTAAAATTTGTAAAAATATATGAATTTGACATAAATTTTTTTATAAAATTAATTAAAAATTCTACATTTAATAAAGTTTAATTTGTACCCTTAAATAGCAAGTTAAACAAACCCATTCTTAAATTAGAGGATAGTCTCCTATATACAACTTTATATACATTCCTGAATTAAAAAACTTAAAAACCAAATAAATGACTCAAGATGGCCTGACAAGTGTTGACTCTACTTATTAATGTCAAAAATTAGAAAAAAAATAATAAAAATAATAAAAATAAAATATAAGAGTAAAAGTGAGATTCGTCTGGGACAGGGCTCCTATAACAGAGTCACTTTAATGAATTGAGTGTCTTATTTTATGATCTCTTAACCTAGAAGATCCATTAAGAGACCATGAATGGAGATATCAGATAGAAAAATTTTGGTTTTTTCTTTCTTCAATTAAACTGGAGCATGAAATCCATGTATTTCACGCTGCAAAACTACAAGTACAAGA